ATTTGTGTCTCTGGCTGAAATGGAACCAGTGAATGTGCAAACCACACTCTCCGTTGTTTTTGTGTGTGTGTGTGTGTGTGTGTGTGTGTGTGTGTGTGTGTGTGTGTGTATGTGTGTGTGTGTGTGTGTGTGTGTGTGTGTGTGTATATCTGATTAGTAGGATAGCATTTAGCAAAGAGAAGACACTGGAACAGACCCCTGAACTTCACCTTTATTGGTCATGACTTAAATGTCCAAACTGTCAAACATCCACTGCAGCAGTTTCAGACTCACTTCTCAAACCTGCACCCGTCCCTCCATTCATCGCAGAAATGAAAACAAAACCTGCTTCAGCAAAAATCAGAAAGTAAACACAGCAATATTGGTTGGTTGCTGGAAATGTAACAGAGTCCTGCATCTTGTGCTTTTTTTCTGTTTTTATCCTTGCAGAAGGCACGTGTGCATCAGTTCATGGAATCGCGCTTTAAGCTTTTCTTAGTGTCTCTCTGAAGAGTAAGACTATGCAAGTGTTCATACAACACATGAAGCTCCCTCTGAAAGAACTTCTGCTCCTTGTACGACTGGCAGTGTAAAACCAAAGCCACGTTATGATTACCTGCCATGTGCAGAGCATTAATGCATGTTGTTTCTGAGATTTTTTTAAGGTTTGTAGTGTGTTGTGCTGTGTTATGTTAAACTTTGATGCCAATGGAGTGTAAACATCAGGAATAACGTGGCCGTTAGATTTGAAAGCATGCTGTTATGCAGCCCTCGTCAGTGCCTCTCATGTTTTGTATGGTCGTGGATGTAAAAGTAGAAAAATGCATTTTAAGTCTGCTTAAGACAAAACAGTGGCAGGCAGGAGATCTGCACAGAGCCTAACTCGGTGTGTCATGTCTCATTTCAAAGGCGGAGGGGTTTTCAAATCGCCTGAAAACTCTGGGTGCTGAAATATTTTAGTTAAAATAAAATAAAATAAAATAAAGTAGACAGAAAGGAAATAAATAAAACGAATAAAAAGTTTTTCGTAAATTAAAAAAAAAAATCAACCAAAATAAAAATATAAAGAAACTGTCAGCAGTTTTAGTGTTTGCAGTCTGTGCTTACTGAGTCAGCTGCTTCCGAAAAATGTTTTTATTATAATGATTATTCTGAATTTTGTTAAGCCTGGGACCTGCTAAATATCCTCCATGTAGTAATAAATTAAAACATGAAAAACTGGGGAAAAAAAAAAAATGTAATTAAAAAAAGAAATAAAAATAATTAGTATATTTTTTTATTATTCTATTTTTTAATTAAGCTGTATTTAATATTTTCTTTCAGTTTATTTTCTCAGTGTTTTTGTTAAATTATTTTTGGAAAGAGTGTGGACAGAAATGTCACGCTGTAAAGGTTAAAGAGTAACACAGCATGTGAAAAATATGCAGGATCCAGGCTGTGCGCAAAATTAATTTCCAGTTTTTCAAAAATTCATTTTAACTTCACAGTCTACAAATATAGGGAAAACTCATCCCCACAGTGATGCTGCAGACTTTTTAGTCTCTCTGAAAGAAATTCATAGAAACAAAAATGAATATTTTGCATGTTAAACTAGAAGTTTTGAAATTTGGACTCCAGATTGGTTTTCACATGCTGCGTCACACAAAGAGGTTGCTAAAGCTCCTTACGTGATATAATTTACACTATTTGAATTGGAAATGTTTTTCTCATCAAACATCATTTCCAGGACCCTAAAAGACTCTTTTGACCATATGTATGCTGTTCCTCCACCTTTCAAATCTGCAATCCAACCATCATGTGCTCATCCAGATGGTCAGAGGAGACTTTTTGAGGATTGTGGAAATGCCTTCAAAAGGCAAAACCAACTGGTTCTGTGTTTTCTAAACTTCACCTGGTGATTATTTAATGGTGACTGCTGACTTTAACACATGAGAGGCACAAACTGGTGCTACCTCTGATGATGCTTTGGGCCACACTTGTGATTATAGCTTTTCCATTTGCATCCACAGCAGTATCTTTAGCATAGTGCACGTTTTTCAAGCTTTTAAATCCGAGGCACGGCGGTCACGAGGCGTTCAAACTGCCAACCACACCCTGACGCCACAGATCCCCAATGAGTGCAACAATAATTGGTCTGTTGACAGTGCTCGAGCTTTCCCGCCGCTCTGCGTGTCACAGCACGTTAGGAAGGTAAAGTGAGCAGAGCAGCATGTTCTGTCCCAGAGCCGGGAAGCGCCTGAAGGCCTCCCAAGCGTCTGAGAAAATGTTATATTTGAGAAAAACGCGGTGTTCCAGGCTGGTGGGCAGGCTGACGTCCCGGCTCATAATGTAGATGCCGTCGTTGTGCAGCGTGCACGTCAGGTTCAGTCCCGACTTGGACGTGTTCTCCTTCAGCTGGAGCCACTCCCCCGTGGTGACGTTGTACGACTGCACCGTCAGCACGTCCTCCGTTTGGCTGGGACGTCGCCGCCGCAGCCCCGTGTCCAGCTCGTGGGTGTATCCACCCACCAGGTAGATGGTATCCTCCACGGAGAGCATCTGCTGCTTCCGGATGTGAGCCGGGCAGGATCGGAATGTCGTCCAGGTGTCAGAGATGGGGCAGTATCGGAGGATGTTTGTGTTCCTCTCTGTCCGGTGTAATGGGAAGAAGAAACAAAAAAAACTTTACGAGAGTAATTGTTACATATTTAATATTAGAAAGCCCAAAATAAAATTTAAAAAAAAAACAAAAAAAAAACACACAGAATGACTGAATAATTAACAAAGAGAAATGTAAGAATGTGCTCCAACATAAACAAACCGATAATAAAATAAAGAATAGTTTTTAAATCTTATAAAATCTCCTACAACCTGGGAGATGCATTGAAGTTGCTCATCTTATTTAAACAAAAACCCAAATATGGAAGCAATAACCGCTTTGATATCCTGTTCACCCAGCAGTGCTAAATCCCTTATAATTAAGGTTATATAAGAGATAATCCGGGACAAGGTGTCCTGATTATAAACGATATGTTGCTGACTGGTAAAGGGATAAATACACATTAAAATGAAGAGTTTATAGGATTATAAGAAGCAGGAGCAGCTCAGCAGACCCAAATATGAAGGATCCAAACTACCAAAATCTTAAATTACTCAATATAGAAATAATGAGTCATTCAGAGATCAGTCTGGGTGTGTAGTAACTACCTTAAGGTGCATGAGCAGTCCATGCTTTTACTGTAAAAGTTTAATAACTTTTTGTGTGATTTCTCATTTCAATTATATTTTTGTCTTTTTGCTTATTGTATTTATTATTTTTTACTTTACTTAAAATTCTCGTTGGGCGCTAAAATGTGACATGGACATAATAGTTCTAACGAATGCCTTTAGAGGGTTTTTTTTAAAGGGGGTAAAAAAGTGATCTAATTTTGTTTGAGAAAAGTAAACTGCAGCTCAAGAGGAACTGAATCTGAGAATATAAACAGCTGTAGGTAAGAAAGATCCAAAAACGTCTGGTGGGTGCAGCAAAGCCTGCGTCTCTAACAGCCAGCAGGGGGCAGATGGTTACGTTGTACAGAAGTGCATGAGAAAAGGTCCTCGGCTCCCTCTTAGTATTAACTCAGTAAACACTTTGCTGATGAGTTTATGGCTGCAAAGCACACGATGTTTGTTTTGTAAACTGTGGTCCCATTAGAGTCAAAGAGGAGGGTGAAGCTGGATGTTTCAGACTTTGTTATTAACAAATCACCAGAAGAAGCTGCAGTGTGGAAACGCGATCAGATTTGGATAATCACAAATCCTTTATGGTGAGGAACGGAAAACAAAGAAAGGGATGGATGCACTTCTGCATTAACGGTATGTAAAACATCTACTTCAAACTGTCAACAGTGACAAAAAAAACACAAGGACAACGTGACAAACACCACAGCCAACTGAGAGGAAGTGCAACAATGCAACAATAAGAAAATCTGAATTCACACAAAGTCATTTTCAGTTTAACTCACTTTTACTTAGTGACCTCACAGTATAAGGAAAAGACACTGTCCTGGGTATCTGTGTTCTGTTTGTTCCTCTTCTCTCGCTTCTCTTATTTTAAGCCTAATTTTTTCCCCTTGTGACGATTAAACTTAACAAAACAAACATCTTGATGTTTTCAGTAAAACGTATCAGGAAAATGTTTACTGTCTTTACACTATAAACTGCCTTGATATGAGAGTTACAGTTACCTGACACTAAAAGTAAAAAAACAGATGTTCCCTTATGAGCAGCACATGGCGACAGCAGGGAGGAAGAACTCCGTTTAACAGGAAGTCTTCTCCAACAGAATCACCGTGACATACAAACATCTGTTGAGACTAACCAGAGGCTAAAAATACCATACAGCCATCAGGGAGGTTTTTACTCTGTGGAATTAAGTTCTGTTTTTTCCCTTCATTTCTCAGAGGCTTTTTGGAGGAGTTATAACTACAGTGGCATGAAAAAGTAGTAGTCAGGATTGGGTGTGGCTAAAAAAAATGTGGTTAATCACAATTAATTTATGAGTTAACAAGAGGAGTATTTACTTTTTCACACAGGGCAGGTAGATTTGGATAATTTTTTTCTCTTAATAAATGAAATTATCTTTTAAAGACCGCATTTTTTATTTTATTCAGGTTATCTCGCACTGTGGTTTCTGCTGTGAAATGATTCACGTCACCTTCAACCTCTAAATGTGGGCTTTTTTTGCTCCTTAAAAAAAAAAAAGGAGAAAGAATCACTAGATGAAAATTCACAGTTACTCTCCAAACTGTTGTCGGACTGTGTTGGCGTGTTAGTGTATATGCTGCTGTAGCTCCTGTACACACACCTCTCGCAGTGTATCCACCCATGACGTAGATCATACCCTGGCACTCACAGGCAGAGAACTCAGCCAGCGGGTCGGGCATCGAGGAGACGCAGGTCCACCAGTCCTGCTCAGGGCTGTAACACTCCACTGTGCCCAGACACTGGCCTCCCACAGCGTACAGCTTCCCCTGTACAGCCAGCAGCTTGAAGTTGGACCTGCATGAGAAGAATCACTGACTGAAACGCGATGCAAGGCAACCAATGGGGACCAAGCGGGGACTCGTGTTACCTCTTCTGGTTGAGTGGCGCCACCTGGTTCCACTCGTTCCTGCAGGGGTTGTAGCAGTGCACAGCAGAGATCTCCTGACTCGTCATCCTGTACCCGCCAACTATGAACAAGTAGTTATCGAGGATGGCCGACCCATACCCCCTGACGTTGATCATATCTGGAGGGAGGTTGTTGGCGAGAGGCTTCCAGCGCTGCTCCACCTCTCCATACCTCAGCATGGACCAGGGCTCATCCTGATCTGGAACGTCCAGGGACAGGCTGGTGAAGTCTCCGATGGCCACCAGGGTGGCAGTGCCATTCATGCGCATCTCCTTGACTTGGTCCCTGACAGCAGAGGCCAGGCTGCTGAACTCGGGCCGCCTCAGCATGGGGTGGTAGTAGCAGGTCATGTATTTGAGGCAAGCAGTACGCAGGTCGTGAGTCCCATACACCTCGGAGAGGCTGTACAGCTCCACGCAGTTCTCCAGCCGGATCTCCGAAGTGAGGAGCTTAAGGATGGAGGTGACCTGGAGAAAGGAGGCGGTCTCGATCAGATCCTCCAGAGTCTCGTTGACTACCTGGACTTTGGAGGTGTTGATGAACTCCAGGACCAGCTCCAAGCCTAGGACGCTGAGTCCTTGCAGCTGCACCGAGTCCTCCGTGGACTCCCTCATCCCCGAGCTGTACAGAGCTCGGAAGTAGTCGCTCTTCTCAATCAGCTTCTTTTTATTCACCTCGTAGGTTTTGTCATCCATGATGATGGCGATGATCTGCTCGGATGACATGGTGAAGATGGTGGTTTTGGTCTCTCAAGCTGAGTTTTGTCTTTGCTTTCCCTTTCTCAGTCTCCCGAGCCCGTCGCCGTTTACATTTCACCGGCCAGGGAGCTCCGTGCCCGGTCTATATATGGTAATGCTCAGCCCGTAGATCGCCATGGAGCTGGGAAGCTAATCAGCTAGCTGTAGAGGCGCTGCAACCGCTCCCGGATAAACCGGCCAAAAGAAGCTTTTCCCCGTGATGGCATTCCTCCACAACTCGGCCCCACTTTCTGAAAATGTTGGTTGAATATCACGGTTTGTTTCTCAGCCTGCCAGGAACGTTTTCATAACATTTTCCTTGTGAGGGACAATGTCGAGCTGTCAAATTTAACTGTTTTGATTCTGCACCCTACATCATGTGCGTCTTCTTCTTCCATTGGAATTATTGGCAGATTAGGCGTATCGAAGACACCTTACTGCCCCCAGCAGGTCGTTATTAGAATTACATAACATGGTTTGAATAAATGATAAGAGTATGTTAAATATTTGATCCCCTTTTTGATTAGTCTATTTATTTTTGTGATTGTTTATTTATTTATTTCTATTTACTTATTTTATTTGGTTTGGCTAATTTTGATTAGTTAGTTGTTATTATTTATTTAGATTTTTTAATTAAATACAATTTAATTTGGGGTTTTGTCAGAGATGCTATTGGCTGTGGTCACCTCAGCTTGACCATAATTTCTTCATATTTTGGTTCCAAGGAACCAGACTTTCTTGTCATTTTTAAAGTGGGCTTGAGCAGCAGTTCTCCAGGATTTCTGAATATCTTTCAAAGTTTTTCTTTGGACATTGGCTGCTTTTTTAAATCATTTTCAGTCCAGTTCTTGTACATATTTACAGAAGAATGATTTACACTTATTAGGTCATTTAACACTAACCCTTGAGACTATGAAGCACTAAAAAACAATGTTGTGTCTTGCAATAATATATATATATATGACAAACATAAAATGTCAAATAAATATTATCTAAACAAGTAACGGTACCCTGGAGTTGTGTCACTGGCGTTGCTGATTAAGAAAAGCCTTTTATTTTGAAGGAAAACACCGCGGTGCCGACATCTAATGACTTCCTGTAACATGTTTCGTGAAGCGCTGCAAAAAAATTGGTGTGGTGAGTCCAGTATCTCTTTTCATTTTTCAGACCTTTTCTTTTTTATATCGTAATTTCATATGAAGCATTTAGTTGAAGTTGTTAGAGAACTGAAAAAGAAAGAAGAAAGAAATTTTGTGAGAAAAACAAGACTGACAACATGTGGTTTGATGCCCTATAGGTTTAGAATTTTTTTTATAGAAGTTGTCACTGGTGTCACCTTGATGATGAATCACAACAGAGCTGTTACAACTAACTAACACCACCGTTAACCATTAACAGAAATAAAAAGCTCTTCATGAAGTTTTGTAATAATAATAATTAGTAGTAGTAGTAGTAGTAGTAGTAGTAGTAGTAGTAGTAGTAGTAATAGTAGTAGTAGTAGTATTAATCCTGTGTTTGTATGTCTAAATCAATTCCACCCAATCCCTGGGTGGTTTATTGTGTCACTGATGTTACTATGCTTTGGGGTTTGGGGGATTTTTTTCCCCCCATTGTCACAGATCCATTGAATTCTGTTACACTTAAGGGTAAACATCAAATGGATTGTGACACTACTCATTATAACAGTTGCATAGCAAATAAATGGCTTCACAAATGAACAAACACTGTGCAATCAAACTTAACAACTGAAAATAAGAAAATATAATCTCCTGATTTGTTGCATTATGAGTGCAAGTCCGACTACATGTGCTGAAGAGACTGAGGAAATAATATTTATCAAACGCCTTTTAAATTGCAGAAAGAGTGAGGTAACACCATCTAGTCTGTAAGCTGACGTACAAAAAGAGATTAAAAATCATTAATCTGCCTTTTTTGTGAATACTAAAGTGAACAGGTTATGTTATAATATGGTCTATGTGTAAACATTAGAAAAATAAATCAATTTTAGGACATCTCACCATCGCCAAATCGGAGTTTATGTAGAATAAAAAAAATAAATACAGACAGGATGAAATTCAGTTTTAAAAATGTTGGACCCATGTTACAAGGTGTTTTATTTTTAGGTACAACTAGTGATTTTAATCCTGCAGAGAGAAAATTACAAACTAAATAAATGTTTAGAAAATGTAAATTTTTACATGTATTGTATTTTAAATTATAATCTTTTTCCATCAGATGCAGATCTCGTTATTCAGATTAATGATTAACTCTCTTCGCTAACTAATATTCAGAGAGATTTATTTTAAGATCGTACACAGTTTTACTGCGAGAAAGGACACCAGTGTACTGCATATATTTTTAATTTAAAAATAATAATAATAACCACACATTATAAAACCCTGGAGAATAAACCCAGGATAACGGTGTTGTGATAAAAACTGAGGTTCATAGGACGTAACAAGAGAGCTTTAATTTGAAAACCTGTACCGGAAACGATTTTTATTATCAGCCTATTGACGCTGTTGTGGGTGGAGGAGGGGAGAATGGGTGAGACAGGCAGGCGGGAGCATCAATGACAGGGACTCTTCTTGTGCGGCCCGCTTCGAGTACGCGGCTCCAGGCAGCGGACACCCGGCGCTCTGTGACCCGGACTGAGGATGAGGGAGCAGGCGTGGGCCTCCCGGTCCCCAAGCTGCAGCTTTTTACTCAGCATCACCACCACCACCATCATCATCATCATCGCCGCTCATACATCATCAGTTAAAGGCGCCGGAGACCTGCGGCCGTGTAATAAGGTGAGCGCCTGTGCTGTCGTCGTTATTATAATTATAATATCTGCTGCTTTTTAAAACACAGATCCCGCTCCGCTTTGCTTTTTCTTTATCCTAGAATAAATGATCAGGGCAACAAGTCAAAATGGCCATGCAAGAGTAAATGTGCAGAATAGATTAAGATAAAATAAAATAAAATGAAGAAGGATTAAAAATACAAAAATAAATAAAAACAATGTAAGGGCTGCAAGTCGTTTTGCTGCTTTACATTGGCTCGGCTCAGCTCGGGTCCGGATGTATGTGCGCCTCGTCCTTCACGTCGCTGATCGGCTTAAAATGCCGTTCGTGTTGACTATAAACACCCTGCTGGAATCCTTCTCTCATCCCCTTCAGAGCAGCCTCATGCCGGCCAGCCCGACCGGGATTACTCGCTGAGGAGGACAGAGAAAGGCTGCTGGCACGGTTCGCTCTCAACCCTGTAAGGATGACTTGAAGGAATACAAGAAGAAGCTTTTTGCCCTCTAGATGGGGAGATTTTCATGCCAGGACTGATACCCTGTAAATGAAAAAACTAGCATTATCCTTATGGTCACTAGGGGGCGACAGCTGTGATTGAAAATCGAAATCCAGTTATGAAGAAATGTGTGATCCCTGCGCTCGGCAAACACTTATAGCGATTGTTTATGGACTCATTTGCTAGTTTTTTGTAATACTGAACAGATCGAACTCTAAAGTGCCTTGTATTGTGAGATAAATATCCTGCAATATTAAAGAGAGAATGATGAGCCTGTGGGTAAGGACATGGTGAAAGGGGGGAGGAAGAACTTTCTTTTAGCAGGAACAGATCACAGCAAAATGTTAGCATAAATTTATCACAGATAAATATGTATCCTTATCATTGAAGATTAGACTCTGTATAACATGTATATGACAACAAAAATTTCATATGGGTTAAAAAAAACAAGTTTATTTTGTTTGTTAAATCAGGGTTACTTATTTAATATCTTCTCTGTGAATACACTCCTGCATTTTATGATGTCCTGCCTTTACCTGGTCTAGAGAAAAGCTGCTTGAGTATTTAAAACAGAAAACAAAAGAAAATAAAAATAAAAAAGTTAATAAAGTGCATGATAATAATAGAAAAAGAACATTTTTATGACTTTTATTTTATAGTTGTCTACGTAGCTAATCCTAGCTAACATTATCTTGTTAGCTAGATAACTAAGTTATCAGTTACAGCAAACACTGTGGCAGTCACAACTCCATATGATGTCAGACAATATAAATAAACTCTAAATGTTCTGAAAGCTATATATATATATATATATATATATGATTAAAACAGGAAATAACAACTACTGATCATTAACTGGATCAGTGTGCATGTAAATTCAAGCATAGTTCAACTGTGCTTTTACTTTCGAGGTCACAAATTAAGTTTAATGGCCACTTACTATAATTTCCTATTGAAATGCACGATATAAGAGTGTTAGTGAACTTTTCGTCTAACTGTTGGAAAAAAATTATAGAAGCAAATGTCTCTAAATGGTAAATAAAAATGTTTCACACTTAATATAACTCAATAAATAAAAAACTAATTTCTCATCAGAGATTGAATTCTGGGTAATAAAACAGGATCCAGCCTGTGTTAAATAACAGTTCACTGCCGTCAGTTTATAAAATCAATAAAACCTACCGCACCCTGCATCAAGGAGCCGCTAAGCCACTGGGAGCAGTTATCGTTATTAGATTAGATGAGATTCAGCTTGATAGCTGTCACACAAAACATGGAAATACAGCATTTAAAGAGGTGTGAAACGTCTGAACAATGGTACAAAATGAACATTAGTCTAATACATGACGGAAAACATCAGCAAAGTCTTGATCCCCGTTTCCAAGGAACCAGACTTTCTTATAATTTTTTAAGGTGTAAGAAATGTTGAGAAACAGTTCTCCTGTTTTTTAAGCTTTTTCAAATTCATCTTTGTACATTGGCTGCTTTTTCACTCATTTTCAGTCCAGTCCTTGTACCTGACCTTTTTTTTGTTTGTTGAACCTGTTAACACTGACCTATGAAACATTCAAGCACACAAAAGGCACCAAACTCAAGGGGTGAAGCATAACACCCCTTGAGTAGGGGTGTTATGAAAAAAGCGGGCACTGACAAGTTGATTCCTTATTTTAGCCAACAATAGCAGAAATAAGGGATAAACTGTTGAAAATGGTGACTAAACATCATGTTAGGCAGGGAAAAAATAAAAATTACTGGTGGTTTAAACACTGAGTGTAGATGTACATCAAAATAAAGCATGAGAAGTGGTGTTACTGAGGGGGTCTTTACATCACATGAATGGGCTTTCTGGGTAAGTCCGATGAAAACGGTTGGAAACCTGACTGAAAAAGCATAAACAGTAAGCGGTCATATAACAGCTGTGTGCTGTTTTCTAAAGATGACCTTAATACAGCTTCAGAAGTTTCCAGATGTTTTTTTCTGCACTTAAAAAAATACATTGTTAGAGAGATTAGGGTCCTATCAAATCCTCAAACCTCTGCTGCAAAGAGGCACTGAATTTTATCCCGTCCCTGCTCGCTTCCTTCCATGAGTCTCCATGACAACCGGCGTGAGTCACCCAGGAGAC